AAGGCCAGACAACAGACACATGAAAAAGTGCTCAACATCACTCGGCATCAGGGAAATCCAAATCAAAACCTCAATGAGATACCACCTCACACCAGTCAGAATGGCTAAAATTAACAAGTCAGGAAATGACAGATGTTGGCGGGGATGCGGAGAAAGGGGAACCCTCCTACACTGTTGGTGGGAATGCAAGCTGGTGCAGCCACTCTGGAAAACAATATGGAGGTTCCTCAAAAAGTTGAAGATAGAGCTACCATATGATCCAGCAGTTGCACTACTGGGTATTTACCCGAAAGATACAAATGTAGGGATCCAAAGGGGTACGTGCACCCCGATGTTTATAGCAGCAATGTCCACAATAGCCAAACTGTGGAAAGAGCCAAGATGTCCATTGACAGATGAATGGATAAAGAAGATCTATACAATGGAATATTATGCAGCCATCAAAAGGAATGAAATCTTGCCATTTGCAGCAACATGGATGGAACTGGAGGGTGTTATGCTGAGCGAAATCAGTCAAACAGAGAAAGACATGTATCATATGACCTCACTGATATGAGGAATTCTTAATCTCAGTAAACAAACTGAGGGTTGCTGGAGTGGGGGGTGGGGTGGGAGGGATGGGGTGGCTGGGTGATAGACATCGGGGAGGGTATGTGCTATGGTGAGCGCTGTGAATTGTGCAAGACTGTTGAATCACAGATCTGTACCTCTGAAAGAAATAATACATTATATGTTAAGAATAAGAAAAAAAAAAAGAGGAAGATAGCAGGAGGGGAAGAATGAAGGGGGGGAAATCAGAGGGGGAGACGAACCATGAGAGACGATGGACTCTGAAAAACAAACGAGGGTTCTAGAGGGAAGGGGGTGGGGGATGGGTTAGCCTGGTGATGGGTATTAAAGAGGGCGCGTTCTGCATGGAGCACTGGGTGTTATGCACAAACAATGAATCATGGAACACTACATCAAAAACTAATGATGTAATGTATGGTGACTAACATAACAATAAAAAATTTAAAAAATTAAAAAAATAAAATATAGAAGGAGGTCAGAAACACTTGACATAAAAACATCTTAAAGATTAATTGGTGATAACACTTCTGAAAAGAAAAAGTACTGAGCAGGGGATAAATGTAGTAAAGTGAAAACATTCCTCGACCTCCTCTGTTCATCTAATTTTGGTGGCTGGCCTGAATGTGTTTGGTGTTGCAAATGTGAATCAGCCCTCATCTTGCAGGGAGACCCACCTGTAAACTGCCAATTAAAAAGTGTGTCGTTGGTGCTGTGACAACTCAGAGGGCTCCTGATGTCCCCTGGAGCAGGCAGGGAGGTTGGGGAGGTTTTCTCAAGAATGTCATGCGCAGGTAAGGTGTGTGCACTTCTGACCGTATGTAGATGGAGCTGCTTTAGGGAGGGTGGAGGCTGCAAATCGGGGCGGGGAGGAGGTAATGGCGGCCTACGTGGAGGTCTGATTGGTGAGGAGGGGAGATGAGGTTATGAAGCTCTCGGGGCGGGGGGCGGGAGAAGGGGTGAACTGCGAAGAGCAGGATGTTTCCAAGTGCAGGGAGCCAATCGAAGAAGTCTGAGCCACAAGAATAGGTTTGGGCGTTAGCCATGTATGGCCATTATTACCTCTTTATAAAGGGTAGCAAAGATGTGGCCATGGGCATTATTCTCCGGGATGGATCCCAGGGCCCTCACCTGCTTACAGGGGGAGGGATGCTTGCGTAGGACCAGTAGGAAAGGAGAGAGCACTCAGAGCCCTGGTGTCTATACTTCAAGGAGGGCAAAGACATCCAGGAAGGGGGGCAGCCTCACATGCTCTCAGATGGTCTAAGGGATGATAGAAGATTGAGAAACATCTCTGAGACAGACCTTTTAAACTGATTCAAGAAAAGGCTAAAAAGAAAATGAATAAACTAGTAACCATGGAATGATTTGAAAAGGTTGTCAAAAGGTATTATCCACCCTAAGGCATCTTAAGGACTGGATAATTCTCCTGAGGTTCCACAGCCAGAGAGGGACAGCTTCCTGGTATATTTTGACAAGCAACAGAATCCTAAAGTCAAAATGAGACGATTGGTTTATTTGAGGTACACAGTGAAGAGCAGGGCCCATGGGGTTTGGCAACTGCAGGTTCGTCCACAACGCCAGCACTGAGCTGACCACTGACCCCTGTGTTCCCAGGTCTTCTGAGGGGTGGGGGGCATGGTGTTCAGCAAGGGTTTGGAAATCTTTTCCCTCCTTTTTAAAACACAAGGTAAGAACATAGATACAAGGAAAGATAAAAATGTCACCATTTAAACAGTATTTTGGCATCTTCAGACAGTCTTATTCTAGGTGGTTTTTATTAGCAGAAGTCATACTGCATATATATTTTCTCATCTGGAATTGTCATAACTGCATTACCATGTTGCAGTGTATTTTCATAACCATATTTTTTAACCAAGATATAATTGACATGCAACATTATATATAGTATTATATTAGTAACATATGTAATATTATGTATTAGTTATATGTGTTAATAGTTAACATCTATCTATATATACTACTATATATATACAGTGTATATTATGTAAGTCTAGTTACCATTCATCACCACACATAGTTACACATTTGTGTGTGTGTGTGTGTGTGTGTGATGAGAACTTTTAAGATTTACTCTTAGCAACTTTCAAATACGCAATACAATATTAATAACTAGTCACCATGCTGTACATTACATTCCCAGGACTTATTTTGACCACCTTCACCCATTTCACCTACACACCCACCTGCTCACTTCTGGCAACCACTAATCCGTTCTCTGTATCTATGAACTTGGGTTTTTGTTTCATTCAGTTTTTGACATTCCACATATAAGTGAGATCATACAGTATTTGTCTTTCTCTGTCTAACTTACCTCACGTAGCATAATGCCCTCGAGGTCCATCCATGTTACCTCAAGTGGCAGGATTTCCTTCTTTTTATGGCCGAATAATCCATTCATCCAAGGATGGAAACTCGGATTGTTTCTGTGTCTTGGCTGTTGTCAATAATGCTGTGGTGAACATGGGGATGCAGATATCTTTTCAAGTTAGTGTTTCTGTTTCCTTCAGATAAATACCCAGAAATGGAACGCTGGGTCATATGGTATTTCTGTTTTTAATTTTTGAGGAACCTCTTACTGTTTTACATAGCGGCTGCCCCAGTGTACATTCCTGCCAACGGTGCATGATGGTTCCCTGTTCTCCACGTCCTTGCCAACACTTGTTATTTCTTGTCTGTTTGATAATAGTCATTGTGAGATTTAATGGCTTTCCGATTTTATTGAAAGGCTGTATCATAATTTATATAGCAATTCCCTAATCGTAGGACATTTGGGTTTATTCCCCCCACCCCCCCTTTTTTTTAATAAGTAAGGCCATGATTTGTGAAGGCGGCTTTCCTGTATATATATGTATATCCTTAGGATAATACTCAAAAGTAAGCTCACATGGTCCAAAGGTATAAACATTCTTTATTTTTTTTAATGAATAAGGAATATAGTATGGATTTATAGTAATTTTCCCATTTCTTGCTTATTTGCCACATTTATTTAGTTAGTTATTGCTATCTTTTGTATCAGTTGCTTACTACTCTGGAGAGGAATGTGTTTGTATGGAATCAGCAACAAGTGATTTTGGAAACTGAGTCCTATTTAGTAAACATTTATTAAACCCCTACTATGTACCAGACAATGACAATAAGAAGATGCCTGGGAGTAGATCCTAACCTGAAGGCCTTCTTGAGCTCACAGAATCGCCATCTCCAGGATGGGTGTGGGGGGGGAGGGGGCGGGGGGGGAATGTGTGCATTTGCTCTCTGTCTTTCTCTAGCACCTAAGAGCATCTGGCCCTTAGGAGGTATTCCATATTTGGGGGATGATTACAGGAGGGCCAAAGAGGAATGAGTACAAATATTAGAGACACTCATTCATGGGAAAGGTTTCTTTATTAAATAATTCTCTGTTCAGCAACTTCACTGGTGGCTCTGGTGGCTCATAGTCTAGTATTGACCCTAGGTTGACCCTAGCTTTTGCCCTGCTAAAATGTGATTGTGTTTCTGGGTGGCTTGGACAAGCACACGATGGGGGCGTGCCTTTCCAAAGCCTTCACTGATGGCTGTGGCTATGGTGGTTCATAGTCTAGTATGTTTTTAAAGTCATCCATGGCAAAACTTCACTGTGGCGGCTGGGCTGGTTTATTCACATTTATTGAGCACCAGCTGTGTACACATGATAACCTGCCCTCCAGGTGTCTGTAATCAAGGAAGCAGGCCAGCTGATGAGAAACTAGACTACAAGAGAGATGTGGCAAGTGTGAGAAAGGATGGGCTTCCAGGTGAAGTTAAGCCACAGTGTCAGGCCATTATCTAACCCCTCTGGGTTTTGGTTTCATAGACATTTAAAAGGAAAAGGCTGGACTGAGCCCTAGGATCTCTTTCAGACATGCAGTTCTTTGATGCTTGTGACTGGCTCTTCCTCAGACAAAGGTTGGGACATACTGTTTATCAGAACACAAGCACAGTTGAACTCCAGACCCCAAAAGAGGTAATCCAGAATTAAAGAGAAGTATTGGATCCTCTTTTCACTTATTTTTTAGTAGGACTTAATACTTCAGAAGTGTGCGTTTTGTTGTCTTCATGAGCTGTAATTTAGATTTCTTAGTGTACTTGAAAATATTGGTTAAACATTAAAATTGTGGGGCGCCTGGGTGGCTCAGTCGTTAAGCGTCTGCCTTCGGCTCAGGTCATGATCCCAGGGTCCTGGGATCGAGTCCCGCATCAGGCTCCCTGCTCCGTGGGAAGCCTGCTTCTCCCTCTCCCACTCCCCCTGCTTGTGTTCTCTCTCTCGCTGTGTCTCTCCCTGTCAAATAAATAAAATCTTAAAAAAAAAAAAAAAAACATTAAAATTGTATTAGTTGGAATCCTTGCATATCACAAAGTTAAATATTGACCTAATTTTCTTCTTTCCCTTCCAGCTGTTTGGGGCAACTTCGTTAATATGAGGTAACTGTTTTTAATAACTTGGATGTTGTGGTCGAGTTTTACAGACACATTTCAGTTATTACAAATAGACTGTAGATGGCATGGGTTAATTGAATATTTTAAAAATGAAACAGGTTTTTTTTTTTTGCCATTCACACATCTGAGCTTTGTCTTTTTTCTTATGGATATTCTTGATGAATACATCTGATTTTACTATTTGCTCAGGTAAAGCCCAGTTTTATTGGCTGGCTCCTCATCATTGCCTGCCTCAACGTCCCTTCCCTCCTTTTGTACACAGGAAAGGGTTGACCCTAGCTTTTGCCCTGCTAAAATGTGATTGTGTTTCTGGGTGGCTTGGACAAGCACACAGTGGGGGGCGTGCCTTTCCAAAGCCTTTTGAGAAGGGGGCTATCTTTAGGAAACCATGCAGGCCCCTGGCTCTGGGAGTAGACCAGTAGATTCTGAGGCTACCTGCTTATCTCAGGATTCAGCCCTGAGGAGCCTTCTGGCCTGAGTGTGCATTATTTGTGCTTTATGATAAACATAGGAGGGACACTCAGGAGAGTAAAATCCTGTGTTGATATTCTAAAAAAAAAAAAATTAACAAGCATTCATTGTAAAAACAAATTTGACGCTGTTAGTACAGTTTTACACTTAAAGAAAAATTCGTTCCACTTTGTCTGCCTTGATAGTGAAAATAAAAGAGCAGCAATCACAATTGTGGTGCTGGCGGTGGGTTTGGCAGTCAAATGCCCCTGCACTGGGCTACTACGGTAAAGGGTTGCTGTGCCGCCACCAGGCTTTTCAGATTGAGTAGGTTTTGCAAGGCCAGTGGGGCGGTGTTGATCTGATTCCTACCACCAGGGTGTGAGTGTCTCCTGACAAAGACTTGTGTGTGTGGCTAGGAGGGGTGCTGAGATCCCATTTAAAGGAACTCTGTTTTTTTACTTGGAAAAGCTCCATTTTGCATCAAATCCCCAGGAAAGCCCAGCAGAGAGACTTGGACTCCTATAGACACACTTCCTGCCTCTAATTTAAAATTGCATGTTGAATATAATGTGAAAGATTATTTTAGTGGAATAGAAATAACGCTTACAAAGTAGAGGTGAGCTGGTGAGATGAATTTGAGATTTCCTCTCCTCCATTGTCTTCCGTTCCTTGGGTGCACCCCCTTCTGGAGGGAATTGGAACCTGGGACTGATGTTTGGGAAGGGGAGCGCTGAGATGGTGTGCAGCTTTTGGTTTGTGTTGTCATTTGTTCAGAAATAAATCTTAAGGTCATCAAGCCTCTCAATGGATCTCAGTTTCGCAGCTTTCTACTCAACAGGTCTATCCAGGAAAATGGTGAACTCAAAATCGAGAGCAAGATCGAAGAGGTTAGTTCCTTTCCTGTATTTTGCTCCTATTTTGTCGTTATGTTTGTCAATTTCAGTTCTTTGGCTTGTGCTGGTACCTTTCTTGTGAGAGCCCGATGCTAACCCGTGATTTTGAAAACATCTCTTCAAAAATTACTCCCTTATTTAGAGGAGTCTTTTCATCTGTTATGCTGTGGATACACCTCTCTGTCAGTGTTTGGCCATTTGATAAAGGCATGATGTACAAATTCTACCTCAGAGGCAAAATGGATTTATGAGTTTGTCTGACTTTTCAACTGACCTTCCCAGAATTTCTTAGAGAAAGGGAAGTGAGTACTTTCACCAGGGATGGAGGCAAGTGCCAGCATCCACTCACCCCAGCAGATGCTGTAAGGAAAACCGCCCAACTCAGATGCTAGGACGGGGAACTTGGGGAGCGCCCACATGTACGGATGGGGAAGCCACACACCTGCTCACTGAAAGCTAGCGCCTCTGGTTGATTATATACCTTCTATTTAAAAATAATTGCTTATGTTTTTTGTCCAATAATTGTAGATATAGGTACGTGAGTGTAATGTGGGCTGCGGGAGGAGATGGGGAGTCAGTCATTTTGATCTGAAGCCAAATGTCACAGTTGTGGAGAAGCTCTCGGATTGCTCTCGTCCTTCTATCTCAGCTCCCAATGTTAACACACAGGAATTTGGGTCTGCTCACAGCCTGCCCTTCCTTCATGTGCTGAGCAGATGATGTGGAGATAATGTGCAGAAAGAAGAGGTTAAGCTTTGTGGGCAGCATTGAGGGGTTTTTTTCATTCCTGAAAAGAAGAGGGTGGTGGTGATCTGCCTGTTCTTGTGAGCCTCAGCCACCTTGCTTGTTGTAAGGAAATTAAAAGGTTAATTTTCCCAGAGACTTAAGTGTCTGTGGAGTAAGAGTTCCAACGTGCAGTGTATTATCTCGATTCTTGACTTGTGATTCAAGTAGTATAACTTAATTTCAAGCTGGAAGTGGATAATAGAAGAAATTACAATCTGTTTTGCATGATGTCGTGCCCATGTGGAACATCAGAGAGGAGGGAAGCGGTGGAGAACTGTCTTTGCTTCAAAACTGATGTTGGTTATTTTTGTTTTAGATCGTTGAACCACTAAGAGAGAAAATCAGAGATTTGGAAAAAAGGTAGGTGTACTTTTTTTTTTTTTTTTAAAGAAAATACTTCTATCCTTTTGACTTTAGAAGGTCACTATTCAATATAAATTCATCTAAACTGTATAGTTTTTTTTTTATCTATGTAATTAATTCTATAATATGAAAGATATCAGGCACTTTCAATATAGGAACTTGTCTGTGAGAAGATAGATGTTTACTGTAAAATTTGGATGTGGTGGTTTTAAACCCTTTTTTTTTCTTTTGTCATTATGAACTATTTCTTATAAAAGCTATGGAAAGTTTTTTTTTTGGAAGCTATGGAAGCTTTTTTTCTCTCTAGGAAGAAAATTATTTATTTTAATAAAGTTATTTTTTTTCAGGAGTCTTCCTATGTTAGAAGTCCTTCCTCTGTTAACCTCTGTCAGTTTGATTTCTACAAACTATGATGATATAAACAAAGGGCCATATAAATGTTTTGTTGGGTTTCTTTAACCCTGATTCAAATAGTCCAAACATGAGAAGAAGAGAGGATCTAAGTGTGTTGTAATCTTCCTTTTCCAAATTCTGTGAATTTCTCAGTTCCTGAAAATTCATGGCATACAAATTGAAGCTAAGCCTTACCTTCTTTTAAGTTATGCAGGGCATTCAGGTGGTGTCGCACAAATATTGATTAGTCTGAGAGAATTCCAAAACAAGAAAATAAAGCTGGAGGACCTAAAACCTAGTACTGTGTGTAAGTACTATAAGAAATTAGGGTCAGTTATTTGCTTGTCACCATACATCAGGAAAGTTCCAGAACTGAGTCCAGGTAAAGTGGATGGAAGGGAAGAGTAATAGAATACAGTGAGAACTTACTTGAATCAGATTCCAAAGCACGTTGCTCCTCACCTTTTGTCGGGTCTCCCCCTGACCCCTGCCTGCCAGTGTGTGGGTGTGTGTGGCTCTGCTGCACCCACATTCCCTCTCTCTCTGAAACAGTCGAGCTCCGGCGCTGGAACTTCTCCCTTGAGTTTATTGGGAAAACTGTGTGTCCAGAGTCGGGTCTTCAGAGGTTTATTTATTTATTTATTTATTTTTAAAAAAGATTTTATTTATTTATTTGACAGAGGGAGAGTTAGCAAGAGCAGGAACACAAGCAGGGGGAGTGGGGGAGGGAGAAGCAGGCTTTCCCGCCGAGCAGAGAGCCCGACGCGGGGCTCGATCCCAGGACCCTGGGATTATGACCTGAGCTGAAGGCAGACGCTTAACGACTGAGCCACCCAGGCGTCCTAATTTGAGAGATTTTAATTGAAACTTAAAAAAAAATTGTTTATGGTAAGAATAACCCACCAGGTTTTTATGTTGCCCCCCCAAAAATATTGCTCACCACTGATAAAGTCTTTAGAGAGTAATATTTATGAAAAGTGAATTAATTGGATAACTTCCCTGAGATGATGGTTTACACACACGATCTCTTGAAATAGGAGAATTTTATGATTCCTTTTGATACTTTTGTGATGTTCTTTGTCCTTTTTAAATCAGAAAGTGAAGCACAAGTATAAATATAATCTTGAAGAATGTGCCAGTAACTCATTCTTTTCAAACTGTGAGAGTTACTTTTAAGATAGGTGCAGAGGTTAAGTGTTTTCTACTTAGTTCTGCTTTACTAGTTACTCATCCTAAAATGGTTCTGGTCTCTAGGTTGGTGAGCAAGTCAGGTGACAGATGAGCCAGGGTTATTGTGTTAGCTAGAAAGTCCAGTACGGACATGACTTTGTGGTAGAAATCGATAGAGCTCTGTCTGGTTTTATTTTTCCTGACTGATTTGTATGATAAGAATGATCAAACACCCATCTTGACACGAGCAAGATAAGAACGTAACTGGATTATGTTGTCTTGATGTGCTTGTCATTTGGGGGCAAAGTGACCCCCAGGAAATAAGGATATTTTTGAAAGGTAGGGGTTATATGTATATGGGGAAAGAAATGGGAACAATGCCATTCTAGAAGCCTAAGTAAGTGGGTTTTGTGAGTTTTTTTTCTTCTTTACTACACCCCCTCATTTCTTTTTTTTTTTTTAAAGATTTTATTTATTTATTTGAGAGAGAGAATGAGAGAGAGAGAGCATGAGAGGGGGGAGGGTCAGAGGGAGAAGCAGGCTCCCCGCCGAGCAGGGAGCCCGATGCGGGACTCGATCCCGGGACTCCAGGATCATGACCTGAGCCGAAGGCAGTCGCTTAACCAACTGAGCCACCCGGCGCCCCACCCCCCCATTTCTTAACAGTTTGATTGCCTGCCATTTGTTTAATTTCATCTCAATATCTTTAAATGTTCTGTGAATAGATAGCAAGTAATGATGAGAATTTAAATTCTAAGTAAAAATGCTTCTTACTCGCTACCTTCATGTACAGGAAGTTTAGAGTCTAGAATGGCATAAAATAATAAGGATTAATTTTGGGGGGTAAGAAAAGATCCATTATTCAATTCCTGCTTCATTCACCTCCCTTGCTTGTCTCACACTCAGAAATGCAGAATGCAGGCTTCGTGTCGGCAGGTTCTTGCTTCTCTACGTTGTTTGCTTCTGTGTCCTCAGTGTGTGGCACTGAATAGGTGCCCAGTAAAAAGTTCTGGAATAAATGAATATATGGATGAGCCAGTATGCTGCTGCGTAGGGTTTTAACCTACTGCAGGCCTTTAAAGCAGCCTATGCCTTTCCCTTGCCCACTTTGCCCAATGCTGGTAAAGTGCAGGAGGGGAAGCCTGAGTGGCATGCTGAAGGAGTGGCCCAGCTAGCAGCACATCAGAGTCACATCATACAGTCCCCTCACACAGTCCCCTCAGAGTCCCCTCACACAGTCCCCTCAGAGTCACCTCACACAGTCCCCTCACGCAGTCCCTTCACGCAGTCACCTCAGTTACTACTCAGCCCCTCATGCAGTCACCCGAGTCACCTCACACAGTTCCCTCACGCAGTCCCCTCATGCAGTCCCTTCACGCAGTCACCTGAGAATCACTTCACACAGTCCCCTCATGCAGTCACCTCACACAGTCCCCTCAGAGTCACCTCACACAGTCCCCTCATGCAGTCCCTTCATGCTGTCACCTCACACAGTCCCCTCACGCAGTCCCTTCACGCTGTCACCTCACACAGTCCCCTCACGCAGTCCCTTCACGCAGTCACCTCAGAGTTACTACTCAGCCCCTCATGCAGTCACCCGAGTCACTTCACACAGTTCCCTCACGCAGTCCCCTCATGCAGTCCCTTCACGCAGTCACCTGAGAATCACTTCACACAGTCCCCTCATGCAGTCACCTCACACAGTCCCCTCAGAGTCACCTCACACAGTCCCCTCACGCAGTCCCTTCACGCTGTCACCTCAGAGTTATCTCATGCAGTTCCCCCCATGCAGTCACCTCACACAGTCCCTTCACACAGTCACCTCAGAGTTACTACTCAGCCCCTCACGCAGTCACCCGAGTCACCTCACGCAGTCCCCTCATGCAGTCCCTTCACGCAGTCACTTGAGAATCACTTCACACAGTCCCCTCATGCAGTCGCCTCACACAGTCCCCCACGCAGTTCCCTTACGCAGTTACCTCAGAGTCACTTCACACAATCCCCTCACACCCCCCCCAGCTCTGTCATCCGTGACTGCAGGAAGGCAAACAGTGTGAAGTGCAGACAGACTGAGGAGGACCCTGAAGGAGTTAGCCCTGCTCTTATTTCTGACTTTGTGTGCCTGACTTTTCAAAGGAAGAAATGAGGGTTATAAGAGAGTCCTTCCAACAGTTTAATAACTTGATCATACATCTGAAATCTGAAACTTGGTTGCTACATGTTGAAGAAAACAAAGCAAGAAGCCCAGCCAGTGTTTTCGTTTTTTAAAGGTTTTTAGCACAGTGTTTGAAGTAGGTTCATCAGTCTGTACTCCACATGTGACCATGTGTCGGGCAGTTATGTTTTTGCTTCAGTTTCATTGAACTGTATTTCCTATAAGAAAACTGTTTGCTATTTTCTCTCCGGTACAAGGGGCAACAGTGGGCAGGTGGGGAGAGGGTCAGCCTGGAAGGAGCGAGACACCGTAGGTGCGCCCCATGGCTGGCTGTGGAATTTGGGATTGAGGCTGGAGTGGTGGGTGTGGGCGCTCAGAGAAGAGAGTGGATGTCGGGGCTGTGTGAGGGGTGCACACAGCCAGTGCTGTGGTTTGCTTGGCCATGTCCGCCTGACTGACGGAGAAAGCATTTGGAATGACAAGAAGTGTCACTTCGCAAAGAAGGCATCTGTCAGGCTCCCTGAAGGCTTCCACTGTTCCAGCAGGCAGAATGTGCCCTGCCCCACAGCCGCTGTGAGAACATTCTCTTGGGCATTACCTGTGGTAAAGACAGCTCCTGCCAGGGCAGCCCTCTGGGGAAGGTGCTGTGATTACCCCTTGACAGCAGGAAGCCCTGAGGTGCACAGAGCTCTTGGGGGTCTTGCTCTGGGTCACAGAACTAATAAGAGGGAAGGCCAAGATTTTCACTCATTCCCTCAGATTCTCCCACCTGCCTGCTTCTGGTTTTGTAGTCTGCAAGGGGAACTTGACCTTTTGAGAATCTGGAAGCTCTTAATAGGGGAATTCATCTGCATTGTAGAAGAAAGCCCTGCTGCCCCAAGCTCTAAGCATGTTTCCACTCTTCCAGGAGATGAGAAACACTTGCTTCAAGGCCTTCTGTCTAATGACCTGTCATATTCTGTTCAGTTCAGCGACCATTAAGGAAATGCCTTCTGTATCCCAGCTGGGGATGTGAAGGGGATGAGACAGTGCCCCTGGCACCTCTCCAATTAAAATAATGACTGTAAAGTTGGTTTCTTTGAATTTACTAAAAGCACTTTGTTCCTAACTGAACCATTTAACCACTTTAAGAATGGATATTTCAAATCTGCATATATCAACTCTCATTTGATCTTTTATCTGCAGTTTGCACTGCCCTGCTCCGGAAATATCACTAGGGGTTGGGGACCCATGTGACCTTTTCTGGGGGCAAGAGGCATTATGGAAAGATGAGGTGAGACTTAAGGTGTGTTGAGAGCAGACCATGGAGGCAGAAAGTGCTGGTGCCCAGCCATTTTGTTCCGGGGCACCGGTGTAGAAAGAGATGCTGCAATTGTGAAATTGCCCAGAATAAGGGAACAGGCTTAGTCAGTTTTTTCTTTTCTTCCCCTTGCAAGGCACAGTGTTCTGCTTTGGGTCTGTGACTTCACACAGCTGCTTTCTTCCTTCCAGACCTCGATACAGCATTATAAGGAGGCCACCCTGCCCCCCTTATTTTGTGCTTAGCTCTGGCTGCGTGGAGCCTGTACCTTGGTAAATTTTCCCTTCTCCAGGATGAAAGCTCTGTCCTCAGCCTGATGCTACACAAGGAGCCGGTTGCATATTTCTTGAATTCAAATGAGCCAATAACCGCTTGGTTCCTACAGCCCTCGCTTGGAATGGATAGAAGGAGCAGACAGTAATAATGGCACAGTCTAGCCTTTGTTTTGATGGTAGTAGAGAAAATCCTCACAGGACATGGTTGACTCTTCTTTTCTCATCTCTTCATGTTCTACAGCTTCACCCAGAAATACCCGCCAGTAAAATTTTTATCAGAAAAGGACCGTAAAAGAATTTTGGTAAGTTTGCACATCTGATTAATATTCATAATATCAAGAAGCTGGCTTTTTAAATAGAGGTAGAATTCACATACTGTAAGTTACCCGTATGGAATATACGGTGTACTCGTTTATAGTATGGTCACAAAGTCCTTCGACAGCACTCCATTCTAATTCCAGAATGCTTTCATCACTCCAGAAAGAGACCCATCCCCGTTGTCAGACATCCTCCTCCCAGCTCCTGGCAATCACTGAAACTGCTCTCTGTCTCAATGGATTTGTCTGTTTGGGACATTTCGATGAATGAAATGATACGCTATGTGGTCTTTAATATCTGATTTCTTAAACTTAGAGTAATGTTTCTAAAGTTTGTCCAGGCTGTAGCACAAATCAGTAGTACTTCATTCCTGCCTGTGGCTGGATAATATTCCATATTATGCATGTACCACATTTTGCTTATCCATTTATCAATTGATGGACATTTGGGGTGGTTTCTACTTGGAGGCCATTGTGCATAATGCTGCCATGAAACATAGGTATACACATTTTTGTGCAGACATAGTTTTTTGGTTCTCTTGGGTATATACCTAGTGCCCCTGGCTGATGAGACTAATCATGTCCCATTGAATTGTCTTGGCACCCTTGTCAAAAATCAGCTGACCATACGTGAAAATATTTTTTTCTAGACTCTTAGTTCTGTTCCATTGATCCAGTCTGTCCTTATGCCAGTACCACTGTGTTGGTAAAAGTATTGGTACTGTTACTATAAAGTAAGTTTTGAAATTGGGAAGTGTGATTCCTCCCACTTTGTCTTCTTTTTCAAGATAGTTTTGACTATTCTGGATCCCTTACAGTTCCTGGTGAATTTTAGGATTAGCTCATCAGTTTGTTTAAAGAAGCCACCTAAGATTTCGATACAGACCACATTGGGTCTGTGGATGAATTGGGGCAGTATTGTCATCTTAATATTGTCTTCCGATCCTTGAACATGGGGTGTCTTTCTATTTATTTAGGTCTTCATTAATTTTTTTTAACATTCTTTTTGTAGTTTTCAGAGTGTAAGTTTTACAGTTTTGTTAGATTTATTCTAAAGTGTTTATCCTTTTTGATATCATAAATGGAATTAATTTTTAGTTTCATTCTTGTATTTTGTATTGCAAGTAAATAGAAACACAATAGATTTTTGTATTTTCTTATACCCTGCGACTTTGCTGAAATCATTGTGTTCTAATAGTTTCAAGTAGATTCCTGAGGATTTTTTATGTACTGTTCAAGATCATGCTGTCTGCAGTTATGGGTGGTTTAACTTCTGCCTTAACAGTATGGATGCTTTCTATTTCATTTCCTTGCCTAATTTTCCTGGCTAGAACCCTAGTACAGTGTTGAATAGAAGTCGGAAGAGCAGACATCCTTGTCTTGTTCCTCATCTTAGGGGAAAGCTTTTAGTCTTACACCGTGAAGTGTGATGTTAGCTGAGAGCTTGTCATAGATGCCTTCTATCAGGTTGACCAGATTCCCTTTTAGCCCTGGTTTGTTCAGTTTGCAACCAATCTTGCATATCTGGGATAAATCTCTTTTGGTTAATGTATAATCCTTTTTTATATACTGGTGGATTTGATTTGCTAGCATTTTGCTGAGGATTTTTATGTCTGTATTTATGAGAGATCTTGGTCTATAATTTTCCTTTCTTATGATGTCTTTTGCCGCTTTTGGTAGGTATCAGGTTAATGATACTGACCTCATAGGATAAGTGGGAAAGTGTTCCCTCCTCTTCTATTTTTTAAGATGAATTTTTGACAATTTGGTATTAATTCTTACTGAAGTGTTTGGTGAAATTCACCACAGAAGTTATCTGGGCTTAAGCTTTTTTTGTTAACTTTTTTAACATTGCTAATTCAATCTCTTATTATAGATCTATTTAGATTTTCCATTTCTTCTTGAGTTATTTTGGTAGTTTGTATCTTCTTAGAAATTACATTGCTTTAGTTGCCTACCCTAAGTTTTGGTGTGCTGTTTCTTCATTGTCACCCATTTCAAAGTATTTTCTAATTTTCCTCATAACTTATTCTTTGATCCTGTAGTCATCTGCGAGTGTGCTGGTTAATTTCTGCATACTTGTGGATTTCTCAGATTTCTTTGTTATTGATCTAATTTCATTCCACTGTAGTCAGAGAACTTACTTTGTATGATTCAATTCCTTTTAAATTGTTGAGGCTTATTTTATGGCCTAGGATATGGTCTATCCTAGAGAATATTTCATATACTTTTTTTTTTTTCTTTTTTTGAAGATTTTATTTTTGAGTAATCTTTACACCCAGTGTGGGGCTTGAACTCACAACCCTGAGATTAAGAGTCTCATGCTCCACCAACTGAGCCAGCCAGGCACCCCTCATGTACTCTTAAAGGGACTGTGTATTGTGCTGTTGTTGAGTGTTCTATAGATATCTGTTAGGTCTAGCTGGATTACAGTGTTTTTCAAGTCCTTCATTTCCTTGCTAATCTTCTGTATAGTTCTGTCCATTATTGGGAGTGAGGTGTTGATACCTCCAGCTATTGTTGTTGAAATCTCTAGTTCTTCCTTTAATTCTTTCAACTTCTGCTTTGTATATTTTGGGTCTCTGTTAGGTGTATAAATGTTTATAACTGTTACTTGATGGATTGACCCTTTTGTCATTATAAGATGCCCCTCTTTATCTATTAACATTTTTGGTTTGTTTTAAAGTTTATTTTGTCTGATATCATAGCCACTCCAGCTTTCTCGTTGTTTCTATGCTATGTGTTATACTTTTTTACATTCAACACATTGTATCATCCAGTCTTCAGTGTGTTCCCTTAAGATTTTATATAGTTGGACCTTGTTTTGTTTTATTTGTTTCCAGTTTGGCAGTTGCTGCCTTTTGGGTGGTTGGCTTAATCCATTCACACTTAATGTTACTACCGACATAGTTGGCTTTATAACTGCCATTTTATTTTGTGTTTCCCATATACCTCATATCTTTTTTGTTCCTCCGGGCTTCCATTGTTCTTTTCTTATGCATTAAATAAACCTTTTCTTATGTGACATTTGAATTCCTTTAATTATTTTTTACTGTATTTTAAAATTCATTTTGTTGCTATTTATTCTATTGCTTACCATCTACATTTTAACTTAGGATACTCTACTTTGGCTTTATACTGAGTTCCAGTGAGATATAGAAATGCCACTCCTACATAGTTCTGTTACCCAACCCTTCCTGTGATATTTCTATGCATTTTATATATTACTTTAATCCAAGTTACAAACTCCACAATACATTGTTATAATTATTTTATAATTTTTAAATTTTATATATTTTTTTAATTTATTTTTTTTGAAAAGATTTTATTTATTTGTTTGACAGAGAGATAGAGAGCACAAGTAGGCAGAGCGGCAGGCAGAGGGAGAGGGGGAAATAGGCTCTCCACTGAGCAGGGAGCCCAATGTGGGGCTCGATCCCAGGACTCTGGGATCATGACCTAAGCCGAAGGCAGCCCCCCAACTGACTGAGCCACCCAGGCGCCCCTAAATTTTATATCTTTTAAATGAGGTGAGGGAATAAAGGAGAGTAAAGATGTATTTACAGTATTTGTTACATCATCCTTTTCATTACCCTGTCGTTTCCTTCATTTGTTCCTGTGGGTTTGAGTAAACTTTTGATGTCATTGCCTTACAGCAATACAACTCTCATCTACCCTCGTCATGCTGTTGTTGTCAAATATATTTCTATATTTTACAGGGAAAATAATACAGTACTATGCATATTATTTTATACAGTTATTTTGCTGCAGTGGTGATGGTGGTAAAATATACATAACACGATTTATCATTGTATCATTTAAGTATATAGTTGTGTGGCTTTAAGTATGTTCACATTGTTGTGCTATACAATTTGGTCTTTAAATCAATTAAGAGTAGAAAGGAGAGAGTGTCATTACATTGTCTTTTATAATTACCTAATTACTTTATTTGTTTCTCCCCATTTTGTTTCCTGTGTGGGAAATGCTGCCTGGCATCATTTACTTTCAGCCTGAAGAACATCTTTTAGTATTTCTTGTATGGCGGGGCTGCTGGCAATGAGTACTCTCATTTTTTGTTTATCATTTTTGTTTTTCAGTTTTAGAAGTTTGGGTTGTATATAAAATTCTTGGCTGACCGTTTTATTTCTTTTCTCTTCTTTGAATGTGTTACCCCACTGCTTCCTCCACTAGCTGTGATAGAGAATAGGCTGTTAGTCATGTTGGGGGTCCCTTGTACGTGAGGAGTCCTTTTCTTTGTCTGCTGTCTACTTTCCACCAGCTGCTGTCACAGTTGCCAGCTCAGTAGCTTAAAACAACGGAAACGGAAACTCTCCCACTACTGGAAGCTAGAATTCTGATGTCAGGGTGTTGGCAGGGCTGTGCTGTCTGAAGTTTCTAGGAGGAAATCCATTTCATGCCTTTCTCTTAGCTTCTGGTGTTGCCACTAGTCCTGGATTCCTTGTCTTGAAGACCCATCCGTCCAGTCTTTGTGTCCATCATCACATACTGGATTCAGGGTTTACCCTATTCCAGTATGACCAGATTTCAACTGATTACATCTTCAGTCACCCTATTTCCAAATAAAGTCATGTTCTGAGATTCTAAGAAGGATATACATTTTGTAGGGCAGTATTTAACCCAGTACAACTGCTTCCAGAATTTTATCTTTGTCTCTGATTTCAGCATTTCTAGTATGATCTGACTACGTGCATCTGTTTGTGTTTGCATTTATTCTGCTTGGATGGAGTTTGGTCAGCTCCTTGAATGTGTAGATTCATGGGTTTCGTGAATCTGGGGAACTTTTCAGCCATTATTTCTTTGAATATTTTTTCTATTCCTCCCTTTCTTCCTTTCTGGTGCTCCCATTATATGCATGTTCTTGTGTTCATTGGTGTCTCATACCAGTCTGAGGCGATTCACTTTCTTTTTTCTCTCCGCTCTTCAGGTTGCATGAACTCTCGATTTATCCTCAGGTTTGCTTTTTT